CGAAAAAAAAAAAAAAACGATGACAAAACGACGCTAGAGAAGCAGTGGATGACAGGTACCCGCGTACAGACATTGGGGAAATTTGAAATTACATTTACGGTATGAGAAAAAGAGATAACAAGAGCGAGCGGTTTTTTTTTTTAAATTGCTTTGATGCAACAAGAAAATTACGCCGCAAGGGACAGTCTATCGAAATTGCCGTTTGCCCCGAGGATCGACCTGGAAAATCCGCAATGACCGTATATTATTGTAAATGACAATTTTTCAGGCAGATTAATAATTCGCCAGGCGGTCCTCTTCCATTGAACATTCGCAGGTTCGTTATTGCTACATTAAATTATTGGTCGAAAATATATGTAGCAACTGTCGGTTCCCGGTGAAGCTAGAAAATTGAGCGCTCGTGTGCGCACACGTCGTACCAGTCACCCACCATAAAAAATGTTAATAGATGTTAGTAACGAACAAAAGCGATTAATGTCTGAAATGGAAAACTTGTATTAGTCGGTTCAATCACTTCATACGATACGATCTACGATGTCAAACGGCTCACACTGGCTGGTAGCTGCAAATTATCCAAAAGGGGTCACCTAACAAAAGCCATTACTTCTGATAGTCAATTAAACGGGGTGTCCAATAAATCGATATAAGCATCCCGGCTGAAAATAATTTTGTCAGGTGTCATTCGAAAGATGCTACAACGAAAAACGCGCCACTGACGGCACTCCACGGAGAACCGTAAGGTAGATAAGTCAAAGAGAGGATAGACGCGGTGCGCGAAAGTGCACGCGATATGAAAATTCGCGAATCATTACCAAGCACGCGAATATATATATATATATAACAGTACGTAGATAAAGCGCAATTTAACCGCGTGTAAAATCCGTCAGAGCACATTCGAGGGGATGATAGTACATAGACGTCGAGACGCGTTAAGCTGCCGCGGGGCTGACGTGAAACGTCGGAACGACGTCACGCAAAGCGGACGCCACTGGTGGATGCTTTGTGTGGAAATTAACGCGTCACGACTTCATCAGCATGATAGCTCTACATATGTATTCGCTCCGTGCATACATAGTGCAGCTACAGAGTTAGTGAGCACATGTGAAGATATACCTGCAAAGTATATCTATGCCATCTGTATTGCTCGGCATAAGTTCTCATTGCACATTTCGTCTGTACATACATTTCAACGCATGCTCGCTAACATGTAACTGCAGTAATTCGCACATGGCGAATAGTCGGTGAGAAGTCTTGTTCAAAGAGAGAGAGAGAGAGAGAGAGAGAGAGTGAGAGAGAGAGAGAAAGGACCAGACTAAGTTTGTGCCCATGTATAAAATGACGCAACCTGCGACCCGACGAATATGTCATACGTGTAAGGTGTAAACTTGACGCTGTAGGAATTTTCAAATAAGGAACCGCTTGTCGTATTTTCGTTTTTGCTTTTCATTAACCGGATAAGTGTGTTTTGCCTAACGAAGCAGGTTAGCGAAGCGCGTTAGAGTTTCTGTAAAAAAAGAACAGAGAGAGAAAACGAGACAGGACACACATTGCCCCGTCTAAAGATACCCAGACTATCTAGGTAGCTACCTTTCTTTACTGAATTAAGTCGGGTTTCCTGTGGTTCATGTTAAAGAATCGGAACTGTAGCCGCAGCGTTAGGTCTTTCCGTACTGTAGGGAAAGAATACGTGTCGTGAGTACGTTATTCGAGTGTCGATGAGATATTCAATCTCAATGATGAAATGTATAATAGTGCACGACTGAGAATCTTCTCCAGCATATACAGACAGGTTGGGTGTGAATTTTTCGCAAAAATAATATGCAATATCTGGAGACGATTCTCAGTCGACTGCTGTCTTAGTGTAACACATAGCAGGTACAGAGTGAATACGGACGAGCGGCTACGAGGTGCCTGAAAACAGGAAATCATGTAGGGTAAACTTCACCAGCGAATGGACAGGGTCCCAAGCGAATAGACGTCTTCGCGTAAAGTATACCTGTACATAGTGATTCTAACGCGGCTGTCCATTCGATGTAGGTGCTCCTAATTGTCTTCATTTACTGGTGAAATTGCCCTAGCTTGTATAGTAGTGTATTGTGTACAGTGTTTCTTGAGTTCTTCTTTACTGACTCCTGTGGTGGATGTTTCGAACGATGAGAGTCGCTTAATAATCCTGGCCGACGACGACACACGCCGTGTCCCAACGTAGAAGCACGTGCTTATCCTGGTACCAGCCAGGCAAATTAATGAAGCTGGTGATAATGATTTAACAGGAAGGAGAATAGTGTACGTTGTTTCAGGTGAATTATGAGATGGGTTAATGTTGTTACCGAAAGTGATCTATCGGGTTCCGACTTTTTTTTTTTTTTCTTTTTGAATAAAAAGTTTACCGTACAGTGTCACGATTCACGAATTTAAGAGGAACCATTCGTTAATACAACTATTGACCATGCTCTCTCCGTCCCATAAAATTGTGATACAATATTGTATCTTGGATGTCATAGACGGAGAAGGGTTAAGGGGCAGCAAACTGTAGAGTGCACGATGCAAGAAAGTATAAACAATAAGTGACACGTGAACGACAAGCGCAACGAGACGTTCCCCTGTTGGGTTATGAAGGAAAGAAAAAAGGAAAGAAAGAAAATCGAGCAATCATTAGATCGGAGCACGATCATAATTCGTTCGTTTGACAAGCCGGAAATTACGATCACCGATACTGCTGGCGTTACATCGTCAAATGTCAGGAAAAAATTAGCCACTGTTTTCCCATGACTTTTGAAATACTACTCACTGGCGCCGCGTGTTGGCGCTACGCTCGTTTTTTTAGGGCGTCTTGGGGAAGAACGGAGAAGTTGCCAGCACCCGCGCCGATCGCTACGGTCTTTGCACGTTCCAATGGTTCCACGCGACAAACTGGCCACACAAAGATACCAATTATCAGAGATACCATAGTTGGTAGCGGATATCGTGAAATTTTAGAGTCGAGATACGTAAATCACCGTTAGAACGATCTTCAGTTGATGGAGAATTAGAATTGTGATAAAAGGGATGACAGGTAACACGATACGATAAATGATAATGAACGAAACGAGTGAATCGAAGGGTTAATTGCGTAGATGAAAATAAACGTCTAAAGATAGAGAAGAATGCGATATTTCGTGATAACCTTTTTTCATATATTTTTCTTTCTATTTTGGCGACACGCGTTTCCGGGATTCATAAGAGACAATGGCATTTGCTTTTGACAACTAAGTACGGATAACAGCAACTACGTGGGTTTTTTGGTATTCGATACAGTCGAGGGGTAAGCGGCAAACGTTTTCAAGCACATAAATGGAATTTTGGATTCTCATCAGGCTATCTTGAACAAGATGTAATATTTGATTGTCAAGACGCAAGATCCCAAGGATTGCTTTTGGGTGATTCGAAGCAATGTTCTTAAAACACATGAAGAAAAATAAGCAACACGTATATATTTTATATATAATATACGTAAAATTGGATATACTAATGTATGCTTGATCTGCCGGGTACAATTTGAAGCGACTTCTTTTAAAAGCAACATAAAACACAAAGGAAAGAATATGTTCAACGGACCCATACCGATATAACTACACTATTAATCTTCTGTTTTGTGTTTCGCTGAAAAATGAAAGTAGACCATCCTGAGTGTTGCCTGATTATTATGACGAGTGGTCGTTTTTATCGTGGCTTGTCACGCGTTTTGAAAATGATTAGTTCGATGTCTTATGAAATAAAGAAAAAAAAATGTATCTAACCATATATGCCAGGTAATGGGACCTTCGTGGAGTATAGTAATGGGGATCAAAACGATCTTAATTCAAACGACGAATTCCAAAATAGGTTCATTCTTGATCGAATAGGTGCATTCCGGGGTATTATAATTACCTCGACGTAGCTAGCTAGATAAATAATGAATGAATATTGCGGGATGATTGGATGAATGATGAGTGGCAAGTAAAAGCACTATATGAGACTACGAAGCAATTAATGAAACTTAGAAGCATTTGGTCGTATAGTCTCCTCTCCAATAATCTCCCATACAGTTGCTTCCATCTAAATAAAAAAATGTCCAGAACAATAAAGAACGTATGAATATTGACCATATTATAACACGGACGACATTAATCCTTTATAAACAGTCGCTATTCGGAGGTGTCATGAAATCCCTCTAACTTTAAATATAGCGACTGTTTGGCCGTTGAATTAATGTCAGTCGCTCGGTCAAGGGATAATATGTAGGTCAGAATATAAACTAGATATATTCATTGTGCAAGATACGATTATTATGTAACTAACATTAAAAAAAAAAAAATCAGATGACAGTCACATTTATGTATGTCGACAGCGTCTGCAGGAAACCATCAGAAATCTATGAAAAACTATTTGATTAATTATCCAATAGAAGTATTGAGTGTTTATCCTTTTGTTGGTACAATTTTCCTTCCTGCTGCCAATCGACGACCTATGAATGACACTTAAAACGTAAGAATAATTTCCACGGTATGGATTCAATTTCCGTATTACGGTATTTTCTATGAATTCGTGAGAGTACAGCAATGAAATAAAGCACAAATATATTCGCTATTTATGAATATGGAAGTATTAAAATGAGACCGTAAAAGTCACGAACACGTTTTTGCAGTATTCTACGCTCTATTTCGAGGCTCTCGTGCATTACTGTACTCTTCGGCATGGTTGAGAAAAAATTACGGAGCAATGAGGACGTAATGTTTGCATGGTACTCACTCCTGTCGATGTTACGCTGTAGATGCGCCGCAACGCGGTGTCTTGCATCGTTGAATTCGAGGTGAAGGCCAAGTCGCAGCAACGTAGGATTTTGCTCCACCAACTGTGTGATTTCCATTTCGATTTTGTTACCGAGCACTTGCGACCTCTAAACACATAGAGAAGAAAAAAGTTCATGAGAATTTTATAGGCATTCTACTATCTATCGGTCCTTCATTCTTTACATTGCTAAACACCGACCTGATTCGAGCATCTGAACTCTTCGATCGACTTCGTTTTGAGAAGGGCCTTAATGAGCCTCACTATCACAGATGGGCTAATGAAATTTGTTTCAACGCTGGAAGAAAACATTTTGCATTTAGATTTTAACCAAATAAAATCAGTACCCATGCATCATGAGGAAGACTTACTTCAGTACTCTGAGAGTGGAGTTCTTCTCGATGGCATCAGCCAGTCTAAGTGCAGTCTTGTCAGTGAGTCCTACATTGGTCAAACTCAAGGACTCAAGGTGTGTGTTACTCTCCAAAGCTTCAAACAGCTGAATGAATTTTTCATCCGAAATATTCTGCAGAAATAAAGATAGAATTTTGTAACATAACTACGGTATAACTGTTTCTTGTGCAAAGAAATATTGTTAACTCACCTTGATATTGTTCCAATTCAGATCCACAAGTTTGTGATCGTCTTCGCGAACTTGTTTGATAGTGGCATCGACATCTGTGTTGTTTGGCGGTTCCATTGGATAAGCCTTTGGTTGACTAGCCTTTGTAATTCCATCCCAACCCAGACCAACCGGTTGCCCAGAGTTCAAGAGAGAGGCGTGATACTGATCCTGATTCATCATCGAATGGAAACCAAGAATAGCTGTGAATAATAGATATGATAATATTTATTATTCGATCTTGATTTCTTGGAAATGAGATAGAGAATTTCAACGAATCGAGATTTGTCTATGTACCGGCAAGATCGATGATTTCTTCTTGGGTAGCAGAAGATAAAGCGTGTTCATACTCATCACCCAGATCAATGGCGATTTGTTCATCCGCTTCCTTTTCTTTCGTATTATCTTGTGGTGGTGGTACCCACTTGAACAAAGATAAAATAAAAACATACATATCGCCACACAAAAAACTTCTTTTCATTTGTCTCATTTCATATATTTGTTGTATAACACATTCTTAATATATTTCATGGTATTAGAACCTTAACGATATATCTTCACACATGGTAAGTGAAGACCTTCGAGGCTGTTACATAAAAATGAGAAGCTTATATGTAGAAATAGGCAATCTGACGCCTTGCTATGTTCACACCTTATTCACAGTACATTGCTATTAGCAAATTTTTCACTACATCAAATTTACACATGATCGTTAGTCATCGTCGTTGTTAGTCATACTTTTTGAAATGAAAAATCACACGCGTTATTTATATGAGGAATTGGATGCTTACTTTTTTACCACGGACAACGCCTGGTACATAAGGCTTCAGTTCTGGAATATCAGGTGTCTCCAGAGCCTGTTTGTTGATGTGATCAATAAGTTTCTTGCGGTTGAGCGGTCCCGTGGGATCCTTGTCGCACTCATAGCTGCAACGCTGTGATGGTGGCATGAAACTGTCCTGAGAAAATAATTAATTTGCTTTATAGTATTTTATATATAGTATGCAGTCGCTGAGAGTTATAATTATACTTACATCAGGATCAACTTCTTTGGCTAGTATGTTGATCTCTTCAGGAGAAAGTTGAGAAAGTAACTCATCAACATCAACATCGTCATACTCGCTCAAATCTTTGCCATATAGCTTAGCTGCAGTTGTCATGGTGGTTGTTTTCGTTGATGCTGATGTCTGAAAATCACGAGACATACGCCGATCTGTTAACAATTCCCAGGCAATGGATTGTCGACGAGACATTTTGGTGCAGGTGATATCAGATTATACAACAGTCAAATATTGTCCAATACACAAATATTTTTAACAAATTACAAAAAATATAATAATGTCATTGAGAGTATTGAATTACGTAAGATTTACTACTCCAGATACGATACCAAGGCCTGTTAAATTATAACTATTTATTCCAGTAATTTCATAATTTTTTAGGCCATAATTAATAGTACTGTTTGAATAAATATAAAGTTCCTCGAAATAGTAATATCCATATATCCACATATGTAGAAAATCAAATTGAATTTCTCTCTTTTATTAATTTAATTAATCATTTATAATAGTATTCAATCTTTTACATTCACTGATTTACAAATTTTTACATATATTACATATGTAATAAATGTATTTCATGTTTAACCACGAGCGTTAAAGCACTCACTACCCGTTCCCAAGTATAGAACATTTAGGCAAATAATAAGCACTGATCTTATTTAGTCTGGGACACAGTATATCTTAATATTAGACTTTAGAGAATTAAAGAGAACAATGAATTATCCGGTGCTTTTGTTGTCACAGAGAAGACGTTCATTTTCCACACAAATGAAAAAAAAAGTCAGAAAACAAAAAGAACAAAACTGAAATTGGAAAAAAGGCATTAATTCGCAACTACCGTCAACGCATTTTACTCAAAACAAAAGTGCAAAGAAATTCTATGTGACAAGCTAGACGCTACGGTCTCTGAAAATTCAATATTTCCACGAAAATGAGCATCCTCAATGCAAAGAAAGCTCGTAATCGACTGATGGACGAGTGAGCGATTGGAAATTAAATTCGGCAAACTTCCAAAGCGGCTGATGCCCTCTGACCTGAATAATTTGGGATTGATTTTCATTGACAACTTGTTTGCCAAATTGACAACCTACGCAACATCAGAGTCACTAAGAAATTAATCGTGCCTTAGCTAATTGGCCTTTAATTAAACATGTATTAATCTACCTTTATGGTATCCCCTGAAAATGTGATTCTCCCAGCTACAAATCTTGTCAAAACCTTTGAAATTAAAAACCTCACCCACTTTTTATCACAGACACACACTTTACTGACCAGTTCACGAATGCGGCAGCGCCCTTTACAAGCCTATACTATATTCACGATAAGATTGTGAATCCTGACAACCGCACACTGTCAGAGCTTATCTTTTTTGTATAAATTCTATTAACGTTATCGAGATAACCTTTGCGTCCTATCTAATTGATAGTTCGATTGGCCGAGATACGTCTAATTATCCTCAATCTAATCTATAACTTCACTGTAAGATTCTTCAAGTAATGTCGTATCGTTCACTGAAGTATTATAATAAACGTGGTATAGGCTCATGGTATAGGCTTAGCCTATAGAAAATGTCGGCAGAGTACTTGCCTTGCGCAGATTTAACGCCGTTAGCACGCATGGCGGTTCATTTGAAAACACGATTATCGCTTATGAAATTTCTTCACCAGTAATTGTACAATAAACGGTAAGAAGTTAGTATTATTATGTTACTCGCCAAAATTTATTATTGAAATATTCATTCGTACGGTTTGTTTCCCGCCAAAAGTTTGACAGCAGGTTGCAATACCGCAGCATGGCTTTTCTATTTTTAAATTCATTTCTCAACGCGTACATACAGCTCCGTACTTCGGAATATTACAGCTGTTAGACATGGTTTGGAACTTTGTTTGTCTATACACTTTTTTTTGCAGTATAAATTGAAAATTACGGTAGAACAACTAAATTTTAATATTATCAGAATTGTATATGTGATTGTAGCAGATACATTGACCGCTTGACAGACGAAGCCAACAAATCGACGGCCATTTTGCTCTTTCTTCCCCTTTAATTAATCAGTGAAAGCGTTAAGGAAACAGGAGTTTTAATTGCTATTTTGAATCTCATATCACGAAAATCATAAATATTACACAGAATGAATGCATTGTTTTTATCGCAGTGTAGTGCACGCATATTTCTGTAAATTCTACAATTACTGACAAGGATTTTGAAAAGAAATGATTGAGAATTAAAGGCATGCGATGCGTACAATATTTTGGCGCATAAAAATATTATGTAAGTAATAGTACACCTTGCAAAAATTTGCATGCACTACGTTTATATATAAATTGAATACGTATTAATAATATATTCTTATAAATAACAATATTTCAATATGACATTAGGATTTACTCTCTAGTCCCTTTAAAGAGATACCCACATCATTCTATTTCAATGGCACAAAACAGCTGATGCAAAATTGTGAAAATAGTTATCTATATTTAACTTAATTATCCTCTAGTATCTAAAACAGTTAAGCAAATACTCTTTAAACACCTACGCAAGTATTATCCTCCGATATAATTAAATATTAAAAAATTACATTTCACGACGAGAATATGAAAGAATTAAAAAACTAAGGTAATCATACAATCCTTAAATTTTTCCGTTGTTGTGCCAACAAAAAATAAACAAACATCAACGAGCACTCATCAGCACTCCATATCCAAGTTGCCTAAAACATTCGATTTGCAAAAAAGCTAAGCATTATTATCATCCATAATTTGAACGTCCTATTCGTTATTTAAGACGCCAATTGTGTAAAATTTCGATATCTATATAATATATATATACTGCCTATATGTACTACAGAACCGACGGTCGATAACGCATTTACAGGACGTACACAAGTGACGCCAATAAAGCAAGCGTCAAAATTCCAAATTACAATATCGCCTCGTCTTATCCAGATAACGGTCAAGATCAGTGTGAATAAAGGGCAGGAAGTGGCCAATCCAAAAAATGGCAGACTTCTCGCGGTAACGCAGTTTTGATTAGAGTCCCTCGGGCGGTAGCGCTAGCGGCGACAGGAACAGAAATAGCTGAGGCCTCCTCGCAGGCTGGCATCCTCCCAACGGGCTATACTTGGACATCCCTGCGCCATGATTATTTATAGTGAGCACGAGCGCGGCCACTGGCCTTCTCGCGAACTAACTAGCCGGTACCAACTAAGATCTGCCGCCCGTGACCTAGGCCCGTATTAATAATGACTACTCGACTCAGGAGCAAAGCTTTCTTTTCTCAAATTAATTTACTCCCTCAAGCGCTCATAAAACGAATCCTAGCACCAACCAACGTAACGAACGTTTACGCTTACAATGAATCAGACGAATACTTGGAAAGCGACAAATTGGCTGACAATAAGTATAATACAAAAAAGTTAGTACTGTAGCATTCATTATTCTTTTTAATATTGCTAATGCTGCTTTGTAGAATTTTATCGTACACACATGACGTGTATATATTAACGTATACGATGACATGAATCGGTTAAAATAATGGCATGCTAGACAAGTACTTGTTAGAATTACTATCAAAATTTTTCGCGAAACTGCCTATACGTTTTATCCATCTACAAACATAATTGTGATCGTTATTTATTATCCGAACTCTATTCAACGTGGTTACCAAGGGATTTAATTATCGAATAAAATTTTCTATATATTTGTAAAACTGCGCGAGCAGTTGCGTCTATCTTCTAATAATATCAGTAACCAAAACAAAGCGTTTGTTTTCCAAGTTGCAAACGACGCAGTGGGACGTCGTGGAAAAATCCAATAAAAATTCGATCGTTGTAACGCTATTAGCTCATCCACAGAACCCTGATCCATCCGTCAGAAAAAAAGGTAAGAAAATAGAAAAAAAAATTAAAAAGAAAAGATGACACGAGCGTTATGGCGTCTGATGGGACGAGCAACAGGCGTGCGAATTGCGAGTCGAAGAATCTTAAACTTGCGTGGCGAACGCGGAGGCGTGTGATTAAAATAAAATTGGCGTTGTTGGTACAGTCGCTTGTGATGGCAGCCAAGCAACAACGGCAAAGTCCCGGACGTCCAAAGAAAGAGAATTAAAAGACTTGTCCGGCCGCCCATAAAAGATGGAATATATTTAGAGCGTTCTCATTCATTTCTCTACGGGACGCCGCTCTTCCCGTTGACTTTTATCCTTTTACCTCTATTTTGCGGTTCTCCTACGAGAACCGTTACCAGATAACATCCCATCTAGAACCGATAAAACCATCCTTGGTATCTTTATATGCATACACATGTATATCCAGTATAAACAACCCTTCGAAATTCAAAGAAAAGCCGCCACTTTAACCCAATGCTAATCGCTTAGTACAAACTAAGAAAAATTAAGTTTCACTCCATATTATACAATAACATAGTCATATCGCCCCCTAAAATATACTAATATACGTATGCATTGAATATTAGTATTGCGTTCGTCGGTATGTAAATTATTGCCATAATCTTCATGTATCTTACAATTCAAAAATTCAATACTCAATAATAGCCCGGCAGATGGGTTATTTTCAAGGAACGATCCGGAATAAATGCGGGAAGTTTGGACCGGAATTCGAACCGGCGACTTTTCGATTACCGGTCGACTGCTCTGACTACTGAGCTACGGCAGGTACTTGCCACACTTTTCCGACTCGGTCCTACTAACGAAAATTTATTTTCGTTACAACTCGAATTTCGAATTTTTTTACGTCCGAAACTGAAACCTCATTTTTCTCCAACATAGGTCGATGGTTCCCACAAATATGCATAGAATATATTTTATCTAGATATTGGTACTGCTCCCAAGATTCGTCTGACTGCAAACCCATAAAGCCTCTGTTAGTATTCGAGGTCACACGGTAATTCCTGTCCCTCTGATCTCTCCCATCTGCATATTAGAAACTGACGTTCCACTACTGGGACACAACTGCGAGTTAATCAGACGCACTTGCTTATCCGATGACATACTGACTTACGATGAATGAGTAAAGACGTACGCTGTAATACCTGGAGTCGATTACCAGCAGCTGGACCATTAATGCACCTTATGGCATTACGCAATGGTTGGTACCTACTTCAGGATAA